TCTCCGAGACACACACACCTACCGGGGGTCGCCGAGCTTGGCCCGTTGAGGTAAAATCCGGAAGTAAACTGATGTTTGGAAGAGGTTCATGAAATAAAAGCATCTCCCCTGCTCGCAGGTCGTCTGATGCCAGCCCGCAGCCCCCGCCTCGCTGGTCCCAGGGTCGGAAACGCGGCCTGGATGGGAGGAGGAGAAAGCAGGATGAGCCCGAATCGTCCGGTTTTGATGAAAACAAGTACAGGCCCTGTGACAGCAGGCTGGACAGGTAGGCAGTGCTTGCCGTAGAAACAACTCTCTCTGCTCTTTTGTTCCTCGGGAGCTGTTAACTGAGCATTGCGCGCAGTTCTCCAGGCCTTGATTATTTATAAATCACTCGCCGACCATAACTAGTTGGTCCTAAAGGAGGGAAAAGAATCTGGTGTAGTGTTCTTCTCCTGGAGTCACTTCTTAAGAACAAGCATTTTTTCATTCTAAGGTCTTGAATTTTGTTCTACCCCATTTCATGCAGTAACTCCATGAGCCAATGTTTGCTTGTGAATATAGGCTGTACCTACCATTGTGGTAAAATCGAACGAGAAGACAAAAACTCGAGTCTTACAAGTTGACTGTGTTAATATTTCTGAAGGCAGTACCGGGCAGTCTCGCAAAGTTCTGAGAGTGTCTACACATGTGTGGTGGGGTCCACTCCTGAGGTCTCTCCATCAGTGTGTTCATACTGCTGCTTGCTGCCTTCCTTAACATTTCAGTTTAGGGAAAGTATCTTATTTGATATCACTGTCTACATCTGAGCTATTCATGCCACAATTCCTTTAGTGCCTTTTGTTAGCGGGTAGGAGTTGTGGCCTGCAGCTTGGTTGGTGGAATCTGGAGTTCTAATCTAGAATGAGATGGGTTGTTCCCTGTAACTACCCGTTTTTCTTTGCTGATAACAAGCAGGAAAGACATTCGTCAGTGGCTCAAAATACAATATCTGGAGTAAATGTGATTAATTAAAGTTGTCCTCTTCCTGTGCTAAAACTACTTTTTTGTTTATGCCAGTTCAACATTGTTGAAATAAAATCAACATGGAGTCTGGGTCATATAACATTATTTGGTTGGGATAAGGGGATAGTTATAACCTTGGGGTTTTTCTGCCCCTCTGGCAGAATTTGAGCAGCATTTGCAGTAGTAGCACAGCACCAGAGCTTCTCACCAAGTGTGAAATGGCACGTGGGGATGAGAGTTTTGAGAAAGACGACCAAGATCAGTATGTCCAATTAATCAAAAGAAAGAGCTGTAGACCCTCCCATATACTCCCTGATTCTCTGTACGCAGCACAGGTACAGAATCAGACAAGTATAAAAACATGATGTGATGTTGAGGGAAAAGCTCAGGTGGTGGGACTAACCAAGTTCTAGGATTGTCATGTTCTGTGCCCTGGAAGAGCAATGATTGAATGTGGCCTGTATTTTCTGCAAAGTCAGGAATCAATATAAACAAATGCTAAAAATCCTTGGAAGTTGAACAGGTATTTACAGAGGGAACTGTACTATTTGCTATGGATTTTTAATTTTTCTGAGTTGGTAACCGGGTTTCATCTCAAAAGAACATTTAATTTGAATTCAGCAAAAAACTTCAAAGAAGTGCAAGCCAGTTTCTGAGCTGGGAGCAGTGAGGGAGCTGGAACTGGTTTTAGCGCAGATGGATCTAATTCCCTGACTTCAGGGGACTTCGTACAGAATCCTGTTAAGTCTCCAGAGCATTTCCAGATATACTGAAAATGCTCTGGTCTGCAGGATAGTGTTTTGAATTTGTACTTCAGAAAGACTGGTCATCAGGAGGACAGAAACTGGAATTTGTACTGCATGCAGGCAACTATTTTTCTCTGGCAAGAGATATAAGCTTATTCCCCTGCAACAGTCTGAATATCTGGCTACAGCAACAGTCTGAATATGGGCTACAGTAAAGTTGTTAAATGCCACTTTGCAAAGTCATAGCAAATTTCAGCTACTTTTGTGTGTGTGTCTTTGCTTTCTCTCTCTGCTAGAGATATTTTCACATAGAGAAACTCCTGGTGATGTCATATCATTTTAATTACTTACCTGTACAATTTAATTCTGTGTTCTGACTTTTGTCTCTTAGATAGTTAGTGAGTCTGCAATCATGAAAGAATAAATATTTGTTAACTCATTTAGTGGGGTGAAAATAAGTGAGTAAATGAGTAAATTTGGTATTTCACATACTGTTTTCTGAAGGACACCAGCTTAAAGTTAGTGAAAGTGTAGGCTAGGTTGCATACTAGAGTGGTGCATTTCTACAGATAGCTACATAAACTCTTCAAGAAAAAAATAAAATATAGAAAAACTACTACCCCCAAACCACAAAACCTCAAGGTGGAGCTTTCAGCTGATGCTTAATTTTACAATGATGATACTTTAATAGAACAATACAAGATTTTCACAGCCATTGTGAGTACTACAAAGGAATACATTAAATAGCTATCAAGCTGTGAATGGGGGAGATGGATGAGATGATTTCCCAGAAATACAGTAAAATAAAATTTTAATGTAGAGACTTTTTTTCTTTTTCCTTTATTTCTTTCTAGTTTCACAACACCAGAAGGCCCTGGACCCCTTTCCCGGTGTTCAGATTGGGGAACTGCAGTGGAAGAAGATGAAATGAGGACCAGTGTTAACAAAGAAATCGCAAGGTACCCGTGGGTGTTTAGGATGAAGTGGGGAAAGGAAGGGAAATAATAGTTGTCCTATAGAATAGATATTGACTTTTATTTTTAACTTCACCCTTGCAGTAAAATCAGACCAGCCTTAGCTTCTTGTCTGCTGCTTTTAGGTCAGCTTTGGCTTAAGTTGTGCAGAAATAACGTAGCGTACTCCCTGGAGAGCTGGTTTGTATCACTAAATATCTCTCTTTTGGAAGAACCTTTTAGACTGAGTTACTTTGAATGTCCTTTCACTAACTACTGCATATCACTGCTATAAAAATACTTGTTGGGAAAACATTTAGGAAAAGAAAGTCCTCAGATGTGTTGACACGTGGAAAAGACTCTCTAACTCGAGAAGTAATAAAGTAGATATGTTTTAATAAGCGAACTGGTGCACGGGGGATCTCTCCTCCAAAGACGTGCGCACCTGAACGATGCAGTTACCTTGGTTATATGCAGTGAAAGTTACATATTCATTAGACACCTATCCATATTCGTGAGCTATCCCGGAAAAGGCACTCAGTTCTGGTGGTTGGCTGTTCCTCCTCTTGACGCTTGCACAGGGCCTCCTGGTGGTCTTGGGCAGGGGTCTTCAGGGATGAAGGCCGTAGGTCTTCCTCACAATGAACTTTTTACCTTAGTCCCAAAACTAGTTGTTCTGGGCGCATTTCATAAGGTATCTTGTCCTCGAATTCCACAAGGGGCTTCGTCACCAGATGGTCCTTGTTAGACACCCTTATCACTAGTGTTCTTGTCAATTATTTTTGTTTTATGTTCTTTTACAACGAGTACTACACAGCCTCCATCCTGTCAGCCTTTGTTCTTTTACAGCTGGTGCTAGACAACTCCCCCTATCTTGTATACCCTAGGCCTCTGACTAACTGCCACCTAACGATCCTGAGAGATTGCTTCTCTCGGGATGCTTCTTCTATCAATTCTCCTTCACAGCTCACGGGATGCTACTCCCCCCATCAGTGTTGGTTTCTTTAGGGGAAAACTGAAGCATACGTTCTGTAGTGGAAAGGTATTTGTAATGTCTGGGATGACATAAAGACTACTGCTTAACTGAGAAGTAAAATCACATGTGAGCTGTGACAGTGCAGCTTTATATGTTCTCTTTGTGTAGGTATTTTCTTAATACTGATGTGAATTCTTACAGATACAGAAGAAAACTCCTGATAAATGAATTTTCAAGAGAAAGGAAGTCCTCCTCTGGAAGGTAGGTTAAATTTCTAGCTTAGCTGGTGAAAATTGTGACAATAGGTCTGAATTTTCACATGTACCAAGTTGCTTCTTAAAATGCTCAGTTTGAAATAGTTCATCTTAAGTCTTCTCTAAAACTGTAGTTCAGTAACACCCAAAATATTAATTTAAAAAGTTTTAACGTGTTTCTTTACAACCTTTTACACATAGCTTTGTTTGAGTGTCACTTGTTTTTTAGTAGTCCCAAATCTACAATGTTTTTTCTTTAGCTCTGATTCAAAGGAGTCCACTGTGACAGTAGAACTTGAAACAGATGAAGTGGTTCTGATGAGAAGACAGAAACAGATAAACTATGGAAAAAACACAATTGCATATGATAGATACATTAAAGAAGTTCCTAGGTAAGCTGCTTGAGCTTCTAGAAAACTAAACGTTTGATTTTAAGTCATACATTTTTTCTTTAGAAGCATGTTAAGGTGCTAAACCTGTTGTCTGAGACACATTCAAATAGCTTAATTTTTAGATGCCTTCTAAGACATTTTTTAACTGATGTGGATTGTGGGTTTTTTCTTAGTTAGCACACGAGGAATATCTCCAAACTTTCCAATCTGCAGAAATGAAAGTGGAAACTTTTGGTTGTGCTTGTCAGCTACAGGAAATGAAACTGCTTTTTGCAGTCAGTTTTCTCATTAGGAAACCAAAAGACAAACTGGATTACAGTTGCTTTGAAGTTTGGAATGGAGTTTTCACACGTATGAATGGCAACAATTTGGTTTTTTAATTTTACTCAAAGACAGAAAAATTAGAAAGTTCATGTGGAGCTCACAACTTTTCATTTGAATGCTGGAAATATGCAGCAGTCTTTTCTCATAAATAATAAAACTCAGAATTTGCTGTGTGTGTCACAGGCAATCAGTCTTAATATTTAAAACTGCATGTTACATATATGTGAAAAATGCTAATGAATTTTTCATGTCTAATATCTGAATAGATGCCATCGTATACCGGGAGTTCATCCTAGAACTCCGAATAAATTTAAGAAGTACAGCCGTAGGTCCTGGGACCAGCAAATTAAACTGTGGAAAGTTGCGTTGCATTCCTGGGATCCACCTACTGAGGAAGGATGTGATCTGCAAGAAATGTAAGTATACGTTATTCCAGATGCCGTTATAGAAATTGCTATATAAAATCTAATGTTTTTAAAAAAAAAAAAAGCAAAACCAAATACCACAAAAAACCCCACAACAAAAAACCCTTTCTGAGACAAGTCAGTGATTGCTGAATGTTTTCTGTAGTTACTTGTCTACACTTAGTGGTACTCAGCTTTCTGGATCGAGTTGGTGGGAGTAGGCTTTCCCAGTGTCCTTGCAAGGGACTAATTTGTGTCCACTGGGTGCAATCAGAGCTCATTCTGCAGTGCTCTGTACAACAGAATACCACACTGTTAAGGGAAGCTAATTCTTTCAGAGCAGCCTGCAGATTAATCTGCAGTAGCAGTGCTGGAGAGTTCTCACTAATTGGCAGTTCTCGCGAATATTGAGCTCAAAGCAATGCAGTGTGTGAGAACCGGCCTCAGTAGCCTTCTCGCTTGCTGGTTCACGAACAGTGGTGTATAAATTCTTGTTTACTGAGCAGAGAGGAGGAAAGGACGACTCTTAAAATCACCTCAAGGTACCATTAAATTAAAAGCATGGCCACAAGTGCTCACAGTCCAAGCTACTGTGCTCTTCTGCTCTAGAAGATGTAGAGTAATGCAACTAATTATTTTCCTCTATAGAAAGCAATAAAGCTGATCAGGGAACATCCGAAATAAAGCTGGGAGACTACAGAATGAAGGGGATTCATATGTAACTAGTTCTTCAGGAAACAATTTTGTGGTAATAGACCACTGTTTTTCAGTAACAGCAGTGCTGACTTTAAAACCAGTATGGATCTAAAAGCAAAGGTTTACTTCTAGCTTCCTTTAAACTTGTAATTGATAGGAGGAGCAGTTAGTACTTCAGCCTGAAGCCCACCCTATACATTGGTGTTGAAATACTAGTGTCTCTTCAGATGCTGGGGTCTAGTTCTGTGTATATATAGTGTGTATGTTAATATTTTTTTTATATATATATATATTTAAATCTTGTGTAGCTAAACTGATTGATGAAAACCTTGGGGTGGGGAAGAAGCTTTGATTTTTCCATAACATTTGTCATCATTTGTGTTGAGGCATTGAGTGTTGGTATTTGTCTTTGGCAAGTTGCAGTGTTTGATCTGAAGACTTAAATTTAGTCCTTGGCTCTTTTGGCTATGCTGAGTTGACGTGCTGTTCTGTTTGGTCTCTGCAGTTTGGCACCACTTCTCTATAATCTCTATAGGTCTCTTTGTTCTTGTTTGGTCATTGCTTTCAGAACTGCGCCTACAAAGTGCAACTTACTGCTATGTACTGAATTTCTTTTAAGCTCTATTCTTTTTAACTGTTTTACAGTAGTCCTGTTGATCTTGGTGAGATGGAGACCGAATCTGTTGGAAGCAGTTCTACTGAGTCTCAGACGAGCTGTCAAGATAATGATGTAAGCATATCTATCATTTGCATATATGCTTGTTAATATTTGGTCCACTACTTAAAATTAGATCCAGAGTAGCCTGAATACATGAGAAATTCCATAATGTGCTTTGCTTAGGGACTGCTTATAAAACTGAGTAATCTTTAAATTTAGACATTTTCCAAACTGTAGCCAGTATCTCTCTGTAGTCTGAGTTTTGAGAGTTAGAACTTATGTGTCCATCTCAGATATCTTATTCTTCATAGCCTGCAAAAGAAAATGTATCTGTCTTTTAAAGAACATTTATCTATTCAAAGCATGTCTGTTATGAGCTGTGACACACAGGGGAAATACCACTTTAGATTGCAATATCTGATGTTAAAATAGAATCATAGAATGGTTTGGGTTGGAAGGGACCTTAAATCTCATTTAGTTCCAACCCCCTGCCATGGGCAGGGATACCTTCCGCTAGACCATGTTACTCAAAGCCCTGTCCAGCCTGGCCTTGAACACTTCCAGGGAGGGGACATCCACAACCTCTCTGGGCTGACCATCTGTTCCAGTGTCTCACCACCCTCACAGTGAAGAATTTCTTCCTAACATCTAATCTAAATCTACCCTCTTGTAGTTTGAAACCATTAGCCTTTGTCCTGTCACTACACTCCCTGATAAAGAGCCCCTCCCCTTCTTTCCTGTAGGTCCCCTTCAGATACTGGAAGGCTGCTCTAAGGTCTCCCTGGAGTAATTTTCTTGGTACACTCAGACTTTTGGAAGTAGGCCCTTTTAAAGCATTTAGTATAGCTGTGTAGTAACCTTCAGTAAAGATCTAGTAATGTTTTTCTTACTGGATTTGTTTCTCTGATGAATCCTGAATCTGTATAACATGCTAATGTATGCATATATAGATCCTCAAAACATTTGCAAGAAATCTTAGAATGTGGTTGAATGGGTGAAAGACTTCACTTAAATCTATTGAATCTTAAGACTGGCCTGGGGTTTTTGTAAGCATCTCTAACAGGGTGGTCTAAACGAATTACAGAGTAATAAATTTTAACTAAGCCTGTATTTAACTGCTAATTATTAACTGACTTTGTATTCTAGGATACCTGTTCTGGCACTCCCACCAAAGTTAGACACGTTGACTATCAAGCAGAAGGTGAATTTGACTTGGAAGTGTGTTTGAGTGAATCGCTTAAAGATTTTGATACTGTGAGTTAAATGGTGTTGTGTAAACTATTTTAGAGGAAGTTTCTTTTTACATTTGAGAGGTTAGCTTGATTCATGAACTGTTTAATAATAAGAAAGCTTAAGCAAAGTTGAAGAATGTTCTCTAAGTTGTGGTTGGTCTACATTTTCTCTGGACCAAACATGTAAAAATACAAGTAAGTTGTGTGACTTATTTTTAACTCTTAATTTATGTATATCAGATTTTTTTTTTTTATATAAAACCTTTCAATAGAAGAACTGGCCAAAGGCAGTGCTATCCTCAAGTAATTAAAATAGTTCAGCAAGATCTTACTGATTTCCCTTCTCTCCACCCACTGTGTCCATAACTTCAGTTGTCCACCTGCAGATCCAAGAGCAAAGTTAGGGACATATTTCTGAGCATCTGTGCTTTTCCATCTGGCTCTTCTACAAGGATCTGACTTGAAGTAATACAAGTGGTAGCTGAACCATACTGCTGACTAGTACTAGTAAACCCATCTACTGCAGTTATTTACTGTAAGAGTACCTTTTAAAAACAAATTTTTTATTTGCAAAAATGTTTCAGAAACAATTGGAAATTGAATACTCTTTGGAAATTGGAATTTGATATGCTAAAGCCTAGGCATTAAGAAGCAGTAGCCTGAGTTTGAAATTTGTAAATAGTCATGAGTTGTTTATTAATACAGCAAAGAAAGCGATGTCTAGGGAAAGTCTTGGTTCTTTTTAATTTGCTGATTTTTCAATGTAAAACTGTTATATATTATAACACTGTACAGATTTGCTGCTGAAAGCAGTTAATGCTTCTGTTGCTTTTGTATGGGATGTTGCTGGAAAATAAATGGGATTGTGTTTACTTATGACTCTTCAACTTCATTTCCTACTAGTGATGTTCCGTGGATAACAAAATGCAGGAAAATACTCGAAGCCATGTATCTGTGAGTGACATTGATACTAGGCTAGGTTATGTCTTTTAGCATTAGAAACTTAGAAACTATTTGTGTGCAGGCCACTGGAGTGAATTTGAGACTCGGTTAAAATGTGTAAGCCTGTTGGTGACCTGCAGGCTCCTTAGAAGCAGTTTAGTTGAGTAGATGCCCATTAGTGTGTTAGAAGTTGTCAAGAAAAACTTCTAGAAGAGCTAGATGGGCACTTAAGTCATATTTACTATACAGAACCTTTTGTTAAAGTCACCTCACCTGGTTTTATCTCTAAAATGGAATTTCTGCTTGTTGGTGTTACAACATCTCAGGGTCATTGGAAGCACTTAAACTTTTCAACTCAACTGAGTATCCTAGCTGTGAGCAGTATTACAATCTATCTAATTTGTTAGGCATTCTTAAACACTATTTCAAGTCAGGGCTAGTTACTATTAGGGGTTTTGTTTTAATGGTTAATGCAGCTAATTTGACTTCTGTTACTGCTGAATGTTTTAAAGGTTAATAATGAGGAACATGAAGTCAAGAACAAAACCATTCATGTCTTAAAGATATAAATGGTTCATGCACCTGAACTTAAGTCTAGAATAAAGTGTTCGTGTTAAATGATGTGTTTCTACCCAGTGTGAAATGAGTAAGGCAAGATTTCTGTAGAAAACTACATTTTGTGTACCTGGAAGCTACTATTTTGCCAACTTGATTCTGTCTCCATAACCTTGAAATGCAGGTTGCTAGTTGACACCTAGATGTGTCACATTTTGCCTGTTACGAAGAGACACCAGGTCTTGTGCTGCTTATGCACTTGCTGCATTGAGTAGTGATACTCAAGCTATTTAGCTTGGTGTTATACCAGAATGGATATGCAGTGAATTAGGTGATCAGTGAACTGGTTTCTATCCATGCTGTTCTTACCATCAGGCTAGATTTAAAATTTTTTTTCACAAATTAGTAGCAGGAGTACAGCCAAGCTGTTTAAGATATCTTAAATGAACTTAAATCCTGAGGTATTGACAGATATATGTCATCTGCTCTCCTGGGTAACACAGGCCATAAAATACCACCTTAAATGATCCTGGAGTAAATCAGTAACTTTAATCCCTTAAACCAGAGAAGAGAACCAGAATGAGGTAGTACTGGAGTCCTTATGCTAGAAGAGAAACAATTAGATGAGATTTTTAAGGGGGTGGTGGTTGGTGGCATGTTATTCTGTTCCTGAGTATCAGAACAGCAAGTAGAATTACTTCTAGAAGTTTTTCTACGTCACTGTAGCTAGCCAAACAGGTCTGATCAGTGGAATATGCAGAAGATTGTTTAGAGGTTTCCAAAGGGTAAGGTTACTTACACCTGGTTTCTAAATAATGCATGTGGCCAGGGCAATCCCAAGCACAAATACAGGGAAGGGATTGAGAGCAGCCCTGCAGAGAAGGGCTTGGGAGTACTGGTGGATGAAAAGCTCGATGTGACCTGGCAATGTGCTCTTGCAGCCCAGAAAACCAACTGTGTGCTGGGCTGCATCAAGAGATCTGGCCAGCAGGTCAAGGGACGTGATTCTTGCCCTTTGCTCTGCTCTGGTGAGTCTCAACCTGCAGCGCTGTCTTCAGCTCTGGAGTCAGCGCAGGAAAGATGTGGAGCTGCTTGAGCAGGTCTAGAGGAGATCATGAAGTTGATGAGGGGGTTGGAGCAGCTTCCATATGAGGACAAGCTGAGAGAGTTAGGGCTGTTCAGGCTGCGAAGACCTTATAGTGGCCTTCCGGTACTTAAAGGGGGCTACAGGAAAGATGAGGAGGGACTTTCTATCAGGGAGTGTAGTGATAGGATGAGGGGTAACAGTTTCAAACTGAAAGAGAGTAGATTTAGATTAGATGTTAGAAAGAAGAGGAAGAAGTTCTGTGATGGTGGTGAGACACTGGAACAGGTTGCCCAGAGAAGGTGTGGATGCCCCTTCCCTGGAAATGTTTAAGGCCAGGTAGGAAGGGATTTTGAGCAACCTGATCTACTGGGAGGTGGCCCTGCCCATGACAGGGAAGTTGGAACTAAATGGGATTTAAGGTCCCTTCCAGCCCAAACCATTCTGTTATTCTATATTGAACCCAATAAGTATCCACTCAGATCATAGAATAGCCAGAGGAGATTCATAAGTTTCAGAGCTTATTGTACAAAAGGTTGTTACTCTATTAGCCTGAAAAATGTCTACGATGCTTTTACTAAGCTTTTTCCATAATTTCACAAAAGAATACTAATTCCAGAAAGCATCTGGGTGTGGTATCTGAGACTTAACATTGATCTTAATGAAAAGGTAATACATGAACAAATATTATTAAGCAAAACAAAAATCTCCAATCTTCAGTAATTTGTGTTCTCTCTGACAGTCCTTATGATTGTGATGTGTGTTCTTTGGAATCTGCACTGGAGCGGGAAACGTAGGAATCTGACTAAAAGATTCAGTTATGGGGAAATATGAGGAAAATTTTGTGAAGAACCCTAATACCTGTGCAGTGTAGAAAGACAGGAGGCAAACAACTGAGAGTAGTGCTTTTCTGTTCTAATGGGATGCAAAACAAATATTTCTACTTTGCCAAATGTCTTGAGATGCTTTTAAATTTCTGCCTCTAATGTGCTCTAGCTAGCTGACGGTTTACTTAATTCTGCTGGCTTTGTTAACGGCAAACCCAAGATGCTGTTCAGCTCTTCAGGTCTGTGCTGTTCAGCGTGCAAGCTTTCCCAGGAACCAGGTATGTCTTCTAAAACATCTCAGCCTAGAAATGTAACTGTTCATGTTTGTTAGCTGCTTGTGGCACAGGCTCAGATTTTTTTAATCTATCCTGAAGTAGTTTGGCGTCCTTAGTGGTGTCTTTAATCTTATGAATTATTCTCCTTTGCTTCAACTACTTTGAGAGCTTAGTTTTTATGGATTGCACTTAAAGAGAATGCTCATGTTGTCCAAGTTTGGATGTTTTTTTTTTAAAGGTACTGAACTGGAAAACTTTTTTTTTGCAATGGAATAAAGCCCTCTCGTGGTTAATTGTGGGATAACCTCATCCATTTACATTAATGCCTGGTAATAGACTAATCTTAGGGAAAAATAACATCCATATGTTTGGCCGTGCATAGTTTGCATACAGTGGAGTTTGCTTCAGATGGAGAGTTGGCAAATACTGCTGCCAAACTTTAGACTTATTAGGTTAAATCCCTTTAAAAATAAATATGAACAGGTTTTTATGTAGGCAGCAGAACCTGTCAACCCCGCTTTTTATAGTTCTGTGCCTTCTGTTTTATGTTTCTCTTACTCCCTTCACACCAAGTCTTGTCCTCTTTCAGCATCCTTCATGCCGTGCCTGGCTAACTGACAGCAGTCTTAGCTACGGCTAATTTAAAGCTCCATCTGTTTGGACTGAGTGGTTGGTGTACGTGCACTGATAGGATGGCAGGCAAAACGTTTTAAGAGTTAAGCTGTCCCAACTTTGGGCATTATTTGGGTCTCCCTTCGTTACTTAGCTGTTATCATGTAAAGCTTGAAGGCACGTATGTACCTCTTGTTAAATAGCTGGAAAGCTAGTTCAGCAATTAGAGGAGGCAGGACAAAAGTTTCGAAAATGACTTGACAGTACAAGGATTTAAACTCCTTTAAGGAATTCAGGCTAAAACTGTCTTTGTTCTGTGAATCCATTTTTAAGATGAAAATACCATTCTGATAACATTTTGTTTGTGTGTGTATTTAACAAAGTTATTTTCAGGATTATCTGCTTTGGTGTCTTACTAATGCAGGTAAAACCCCTGCTATAAAGGCAAGGCATATGTAGAGGAACTATGTTTGAGTAAGAATCTGTGGGAAAGTCTGCTGGGGGTTCGTGCATTTCTTTGTCAACACTGGGCTGGTAAAAGAGCCCTTCTGAAAGAATTTTAAATTTACTGGAAGCTCTTACTCTTGTGTTTTCTTCTTCTGAATGGTTTCTCAAAATATGAGAAGATTGGTTACTAACTGTAATAGCAAAATATTATGTAAATTACATTAATAGTTAAGAGATTGAAGTTACTTTGGGAAATGTCAAAAATCCATTTTATCTTCCAAGAAAACAGTGTATTCAGGATGTAGTGTATATACTTAAATTGATTAAGAGAGAAGGTGGTATTGCTGAGCAGAATTTACGCTGTACAGGCAGTATTTAATTTTGTGTCATCTGGGTAGCACCAAAATAAAAACATGCAAGGAATCAAGATCTAGTATCTGTCACTTCTGACCTCCACTGTATTTTTGGATCACCAGTGCTATTCATTCTCTGAGCCTTGCTGCTTACCTCTCTGGGATTATGTTTAAGCACAAGAGCAAACTAATTTATCCAAAAAGTGCTGATTCAAGAAAAAACTTAGTTTTAAGCAGAAAGTTGGGACTTACTTTGTGGGCTAACCTGGGCTTCAGCTGTCCGTGCTGGGAGCTTTCTATTCAAGTTTCTATTGAGAAAGTCCCTGGGAAGTACTGGAATGGCTCTAATTATCAGCAAAAACAA